CCAACTCTCGTTTTTAAAATAGATCTGATTAACCAGAGGTAAGAATAGAACTTTTGGTTAAAATGCAATTATGTTTGCTGAGTGCTTTGTTTTGGTCTTTTTTAGTTTTAAAGAGAATTAATCTAGAACAACTTGCAAAGGACAAGTGAGGTTTGACAAGGGCATCTTATGAATGTAGGTCTGATACGATCTTGGGTCTGGCTCAACAGAGCCCAGCCTATGGGGAGACCACCTGAGGAAGAGATAGGAAACAGAATCACTTGGCAGACACTAAATCATGTCTGTCTGGGTAACAAACAATGCAGGGAGTGGTTTGTATTATTAGTTAAGGGTTTGGCATTCAAATACAATCTTGGGTGTTGATCACAATCTTTAGGCAGCAAGGCAAATCCAAGATTGGATGTCCCCATGCTTTCCTGAAATCTGCTCTGCAAAGTCTCACTTTTTTTACAGACTGGTGTGGAAGGTTGGGAGTGTTTCTCCCAGGACCACCATCTGTGGAATATCGACTCTCTGTAAACTACACACTGCTGGAATGACCCTTGGGTGGGAGTGCTCTGAGGAGATTATTTTTATTGCTCTTCACTCAGCTTTCAAATGTATTTTTAAAGGGTGCTTTTTAAACTTTCCTTCCCTTCCGCTGGGTAATCCATAAACTCGTCTCCATTTTCATCAGCTCCAATAAATCTATGTGAAACAGTTTCACCAAAGAGTTGTCTGATCTGGAGAACAAGCCAGGCACTTGCTTCTACACGCAGGCAGCCACAGGAATTTGACTTGACGACAAGTTCAAAGGCGTTGTTCCTACCGAGGCACAGACAGGGGTGACAGTGGGAGCCCGCGAGGCCCTTTACCTTGCAGCGCATCTGCTCGGCGTGCAGCTCCTCGTGGTGATCCGGCAAAGGCTGGCACAGCTTCTTCTTGAAAGTTCTTAGTTTCTCCAGAGAATCCGCTATCCCTTCCTCACATTTTTCCCAGTCCTGCAAGAAGAGGAGAAAGAAATGTCACACAATTGGAAGTAGGAATTGGGAAGAAAAGGTAAGACAAACAGAAAAAACCACTGCTGGTCCTCATCTGCAGAGAGAGAATGGAAAGTTACCCAGAGGAGGAGGGTCAGGGTTTGTCCGCACCCATTGCCATGGTGAGACTGTGACGAGGGGACCAGGGGGATCTCTCCTGGCCACATAGTATGTGAGATGAGTGTCCAAAGTATGTGACATGAAGTTTCAAAATCCTAACCTCCAAAGAGAAACTTGGTTCCACCCTCTCCAAGACAGACCTATTTGCTTTCTTGGCAGTCCAAGGCATGTTCGAGACTTTTCTTCTCCAGCATGCAACTAGAAGGCATCAGTTCTTCTTCCTTAGCCATTGTCTAGCTCTCTGATGTATAGCGAGTAATTGCAAAGATCATGGCCTGGATTAGGCACATCTTAGTCTCTAGACTGACATCTAAACACATGTAGTATATATACACATATGTATATATATTAAAATGATCTATTTATATCTGATTTATGGAAAGACAGACACATAGTTCCTGAATGATTGATGGCTTACTTTGAACAGACCATTAGGAAAATCAATCCCTAGAAAAAAAATCATCTTTTTTGAGAAAAAAAAATTTATTATTAATTTTAATGAAAATTTACAGAGACTTTGGATTTCCGTTCATTACTGTTGCACGTTTCTCCCTGCCCACCACTCCCCCCATTCTCTCTTCTCTTTGTAAAGAAAAAAAAAATTCTTTCACTGTTATTCAATCCCTCCCCCCAAGTCTAGGTCACTATGCAGCCTTTGAAAAATATACCATCTTTGACAAAGCAGATGATTAACTAAAACAAGAGAAATTCTCAATGGGATGAACCAACACAATAGTGGCTCAGACGGTCTCCATGTCCCCCAACACTTATGACAACGGCACACAAGTAGGCTCTGATTCCTTCTGGCTCCATAAGTCAGCCTGCACCAGAGCGGACATGGTGGAATCTAACAATATTGTGAGGGAGCTCCTGTGGCTGACTGGCAAGAAGCTGAGCTGCAATCCTGAAAGTGCACAGTTCGAATCCACCAGCTGCGGAGAACGGGCAATCTCCTCCCATGCGATTAACTGCCTCTGAAGTCCCACTGGAGGATCAGCTGTGAATTGGTTCTGATTCAGTGGTGAACAACAACAGTACTGTGACAGTGGTGAAGCGTGAACAAAGGGTGAAACTTACAATCCACATAAATCATACAAACCAATATGCAGAAGGAAGGACACAAGGGTCAGTTTAAAACACAGAGCTCCACTGTGCCAGACGGTGACCAGGACTAAAGAACACAGCAGGGTAAGTGGGTGACAGTGGCAACGCTGGGGAATGTGATGTGGAAGGTGACAGATAAGTCTCTACTGACAAAGTAAAATGGCCAGAATAGATTGTGGGGTTATGATTTGGAAGTTTGCTCCCTAAACTGGTCACACATCAAATTTGTAGTATTGGTTCCATCTCTGTAGAAGAGAGTAGGATTTGGGAACTATAGGAGAAATGTCATGTTTTCGCTCTATATATTTCAATTATTACCTCATCTTTGGGGGGGGTAGTCAAATGGTCATAATTCAGATTAATAACAAAATAAGGGTGGTTCACAAAGACAAAAGCAACGTTTAAAACAAAAATGTGCAAAGAGCTGGAGTCAGAAGATCAAAAAGGGTTGAACTCTCTCAGCATTTCTTAAGCTGAAGGAATCAAAGAACAAATTCAGTTGTTAACAATTTCAGCTTGCTTGGCTCCACAATCAACATTCTAGGCGCCAGCAGTCAGGAAATCAAAAGACAAATTGTACTGGGGAAGTCTGCTATCAGGGAGTAATGATGTCAATCTAGGGACTAAGGTGTTCCTGATACAGGCTGTGGTCTTCACAATTATTTGCATCAGAAAGCTGGAAAACGACTAAGGATGACAGAAGAATCAGTGTCTTTGAGTTGTGGTGCTGGAGGAGAAATGAACATAATACCATGGACTTCCAAGAACAAACAGGTCTGTCCTGGAGAGAGGGAAACCAAGTTACTCCTTAGAGGCAAGGATTTTGAAACTCTATCTCACATACTTTGGTCACATGGCCAAGAGGGACCAGTCATGCTTAGAAGGATGGAGGGACAGCACAGGAGAGGAAGACTGTGGATGAGATAGATTGACACTGTAACTGGGGTAATGAGGCTAGGTGTGTAGGAGTCAGTGAGACAGGCTCAGGATAAAGCAGGGTTGAGAGCTACTGTACATAGGGTTACTATGAGGCACAGGAGATTCAATGGCACCTAACAACAGCATAGTCAAGACAGCTCCCAAAACATGCACACAGGCACCTCAGCCTTGAGCCTCGTGGCTTGGTGTTCTGGAGTTTTCAGACTTGTTATTATTGGCTTCCTCCCATCCCCAACTGTCCAAAGTTCGCAGTCCTGCCAATATTGGCTTCCCTACCTCCTCCACCCTCACCCTAAGGTCTCATGTCACATCAGGTTTCTAGTTCAAGTCTCTAGTTTGGCCATAGGTGGTCTGGCCGTAGGTGTTCCAGCCATTGGTGGTGCTGCTGTAGGTGTAGCTGGAACAAGAAGGTTCTAGTCCTTCTGCTTTTTTTTTTTTTTTCTGAATTGGACATGCTAGTTTGAGAGTTTAATGGCACCTTGATTTGTTGCAACAGCATCTCTACAAATTAACTCCTATCAGCTGTCTTGGTGCCAAATGAGATTGGATTCAACAAGTCTCCTCAATTATGCCCAGTATATTCCATCCCTGTTCTTCATGTCACCAAGGGTCCTCCTCCTTAAGCATCTGTCACTGGATGAGTAGACAAGGAAGCCACCGAACATATGCAAATGGAGTTCTATGTAGCACTAAAGAATGAGAAAGAATCTGTGACACATTGTGTAACATGGATAAATCTAGAGACCGCTACACTGAGTGAAATGTCAGTCATAAAACATTGTGTAAGACCACGACTGTAACAGGTTTACACACAGATAGAAACAACCCAGGGTGGTCACTGGGGATAAGAAGAGAAGGAGAGGACAGTAAAATCTAATAAATAGGCAACAGCCACAAGGGGGTGAAGGTAAAGCAATGCACCACAGGGGAAGCTCACAGACTAGGGCTATTATAATAAACATTATAAAATAAAGTATGTATGAATGAATCGAGATGTTTTGCAAGCTTTGATTCAGCTCACAACTGAAAGGTGGAGTTTTTTTGTTTTCGTTTTAAATCAGTTTGAATTAACAAGATACCACATGGGACAAAGAGGAGCAGTTTCCTCCCATAACTTGAGCGCCTCGGAAACTTGCTGAGGGCGGGGGCCACTATGAGGCTGAAGGTTAAGCCGTGGGCTCTTCTCTCCTTTGGACACACGCTGAATTGTTTCCTTCTCAGCATCTCTCTCATCATTACCAGTCTTGTCTGAAGTTTTCCTAACTACTCCTTTTTTTATCACCTCAATCCATCCATTAATTAGTGTTGTCTTCTCTAAAAAGTACTGACTCAAGTATCTCTCTACTCAAAATGTCTTGTTTTCAAATTGAACTGACAGTTTGACTCAAAATTCTCTTACCAAAAAAAAAAAGAAATCCTTAATCTCTCTTGAGTAAATTTGTTTCAAGTCCCCTTGTTAAAAAATCTGTTTTCTAAGACTACACTTAGAGCTCAGTGCAGAGAGCATTGCACTGACAACACAAAGACCATTCCTCTCCGGTTGTTCGAATCCACAAGCAGCTCAATGAAAGGATGATGGGCAGTCGTTGCCCATGTGTTTTATGTTGTTGTTATTTTTAGGTGCCATTGAGTACAACCCATAGAGACCCATGAACGACAGATCTGAACCCTGCCCTGCCCTGTGCCACCCTCACACTTCCTGACACACTCGAGCCCACTGCAGCAGTCACCATGTCAACTCACGTGGTCGAGGCTCTTCCCCTCCATTAGCTGACCTCTCCTCTTGCAAACCCACGGGAAGGTCAGTTCCAACTCCACAGGAAGGAGTGTGGGTTTGAAGTATGAAGCACAATCAGAGGAGACTTTGCAAAAACAGCCCCCTTTCTGCTTAAATGTAACATTGTTTTCAATTAAATTATCAAATACTTTGGAATCTAGCAATAAATATTCAGTGATCTCTGAAGATTGCATTGGAGCATAGAGAAGCCAAGCACAAGAAAGAATTAAAGATAATAAAGAGCTGAACAGAAGATTCCAAAAGGCTGCTC